TAGGGGTCAATTAAATAAATTAAATAATTTAATTAATTTTGCTTATTTAAATTATTTAAATTATTTAAATTGTTTAATCGGGGTCAATTAAATAAATTAAATAATTTAAATAATTTTGCTTATTTAAATTATTTTAGTTATTTAAATTATTTAATGGGAGGCAATTAAATAAATTAAATAATTTAAATAATTTTGCTTATATAAATTATTTAAATTTTTTAAATTATTTAATGGGAGTCAATTAAATAATTTAAATAATTTAAATTGTTTAATTTAATTTCACTTATTAAAACAAAGGAAGGAGCTAAATAGACCCGAAAGGTTGCTCTCTCATATATATATATATATGTACATATGTATAGATACGTAAATATGTATATACAGATACAGACACTTTCATGATTGTTCGTAGTCACGTCCGTTTCGGGAACCGGCGGAACTTTGCCGGCCCTCCTCAAATCAGATGGCTGTTTCTTGAGTCAGCATCTTTGCTGCTGTGGATATATGTCTTGCTCTTCGACAACTGTTGCTATTTCTGGATATGCCTGCGCCCTGAACACCGAAGTCGAAACCAACATGGCTGTGTTTCATCTTGTTTACTGGATCAGGCGAGCAAATGTACAACTTCCTTCTGAGCAAGAGCCGTAGCTCGAAGCAGGCCGGGTGCTCTTGCCATGGGCCGTGTTTCTTGTTGCGTGACTTGTCGTGTCGGTTCAGCCCATCTTGCAATTCGTTGTGCAGCTCCGATGGGGTCTGAGGTCGATTACGCCACCTTCATGCACTTCTTCGGCCCGCACATCCACCCACAGTGCGCACCTCAGAGGGAAAACATATCACGGCGGTAACTTGCCAAGACGGAGGGGCGAAAGGACAATGAGATTCCACATGTCAATGCCAGCTACCCTGGTGGTGTGGAAGGAAGGAAGGGAGTCCGCTACTTCTTCATCATCTGATAGCATGCAAGCCGGCGCCACTACTCCCCACCTCTATCCGAAGCCTCGCCTGCCGCCAGTGAGACTCGCAGTCCCGCATGTTTAGCAGATGTAGGAATGGCTCCCAGGTTTGCAACACCCTGCTCCACATGCCCTTAGAAGTCGCTCACGTTCTCTTGGAGCCCTGGCCGCTTCGACACGCACGAGTCGCACGCACGCAGCGCAACCTTATAGGTATGAGGAGATTCTTCACCAGCTGTGGGCCCAGAGGGAGCTGCGTGCGAGGCAGCAGTCTGTCGTGAAGCTTAGGACGTGATTCACTTCGAAGTCTTGACCCACAAGCTTACAGAATCAAATGGGAATCAACTGTCTACGGTTCAGGGAAGTCTGCTTCCCCAGAGCACGTGCCACCCTTCCTTTCGTTTCCTCACTTTCCTCACAAGCCTCGAATTCTCAGCTATCTCAGCTATAGCACTTAAAGGATCCCGTGATGCGTCAAGGTTTAGGTCCTGCGGTGCCTTCGCCTCTTCCAGTGCTTCCTCGCCCAGAGCCATGACGACCTCAATTCACCCTTTGCGTTCCAAGCGTTTTTGATCTGTAAGGCATGAGAAGACGCTGCAGCCTGTCCGCAGCCCGCATCCTAGCTTCTGGATCTCTTCCGGAGCTTGAATCTCAAGTTTGCGAGGTGTCGGCTGCAAATCAAATGATGGCCGTTAGGTGAGATCGTTTGCAGATATTGGGCAAGGGTCCTTCTCGCCACAATCACGAGGGTACGGCCGCGTTCGGAAGCCCTCAGCAGCTACGTAAGATCCGACAGCAGCCTACCACACGCCACTGGCCGAGGCTCTATGAGATCGTCCGGCCACTTCGCACCACAAGCCTCGCACACAGTGGGCCTTGAAGATGCGACATCTTGCGGATCATGGTCAAACTACAAAACAGAAGAGTGTGTGAGTCAATGTGCACATTGCGCAGACTTTGAAAACTTCTTGACATTGGGATCCGTCAGCTGGAGGGCAATCCCCAACAACTCCAAGAGTCTGCAAAGCACTTCAAGGCTCCAGCTATCGGCTGGCACTTCCCTGAAAACATCTTTATGAATCACGCTATGAAGGGCCTGTCTAAGTCTAGCACCGTCGGAGCCTCGATGTCTATGTAGTGAAGCGCGCACACTCTACAAGAGCCAACAGTGCCTTTTGCATCAAGTCCGGCGTCACATGTCCCGACCGAACTGAAGCAGATGGCAAGCCAAAACACTAAAACACTTGTTGCACCTTCGCACGTTCACGCCTCTTGCAAGGCCCGAACGGGTGCACCAAGGAGGGGCCGTAGTCGAGGTGCCTTGGGTGATTGCGGGGCTGGTGTTGGCGTCAGTGTGTTTTATGGACAAGGAGCAGGACTCTAGAGGGTTACTGGATGGCGGGTCCTACAAGGGTTGACGCTTGCCTTGACCTCGACACTGAATGAGAGCTGGCCCCCCAATGCACTGCTTCGATCGCCATGCAAGCCCACACCCAGCCCCAAGCAATCCGAAGTCCGAAGACAACCAGCCTACGCCAGCACCGCCGCGGCCTGCTTCGGCGGAGCCGGCCTCTTCGCCACTGCAGGTACAGAGCGGAGTCAGACAACGGTTTGCTAGTCTGCTCTGCCCGAGTAGACACAGAGAATCCCATGACATGTATTTATCACGACCACCTGCGTGTTTGTTATAGGGTTTGTGAATTGGTTGGCCATGAGAATCACGTATGCGCACGTCGTCGCTTTTTTCAGTGGTACACAACATGTGAATCGTTGTAGTCAAGCCAAGACGTTCAAGTTTCGTCTGCCATACGTAGCCGATGAATGGAAGTATGCTGAGTCGCTGTGCTTGCAGCCGCTGTGAGATCATGGCATGGGAGGTGGAAGGCATGGCTTTCGGCAAGGACTGCACAATCCGAATTCGCGAGCTCTGAGTTTTGCGCGAGTCACTTGACTCCTGTAACTGTAACTCGTTTTGGGGATGGGAAGAAACTTTCTCCTACGACACTGGCTGCTCTCTTGCAGATAGTGCTGGGTGATGCTTTCGATTCGTTTCGGGTCTAGGTTAGGCTTCTGTCTAGATGCAATCTGCACAGGATCTCAGTGACGCATGTGTGTCAAATTAGTTTATCCAAGCCCCCCCCCCCCCAGCCATAACGGCTTGAACCCCTTGCAACCTGCAGCTTTCTTGCAGAAATTTCAGGCCTGGATTCTCTAAACTGATTTGTCTCGGTGTGGGGTTGTGGGCAATCTTCCGCCAGTACCTTCATTATACTTCTTGTATCTTGTGGTAACTACGCTTTTTTTGCTGTGCACGTTGTCGCCATGTTCAAGGAGTTCAGCCGGCAGAGCTCTAGTAAGGCCTCCACTTCAGCAGGCGCCCCACGCGACTGCAGGCTTGAGGTATCTTCTTGCTCGGCTTTGCGGGCCGGGGCATGACTCTGCAGGTTTCTGGGTGTTCATGATCTTTGTTTGGTCTTCCACAATTCACTCTAGGGTTTCAGCTTGTTTTGGGTTTCGGCTTGTTTTGGACCTTGGGTGCCTCATGTTGGATCCCCAAAGGGCTGTTGCAGAAACATTTGCTGGACCCTTTCCATCTACAGTAGGAAGACGAGGCGGGTCCTTCATCGCTCCAGGGTCCTATTTGTAGGGGATCCCGGCATGACTCACTCGCGGCATTGGGATCCCGGGTCCCCTCCACCCCCCACCGAAAGCAGGTGCCAGCGAAGCGTCCTCCGACGTTTCTTCAGCGCCGGGCTCAATTCATGGAACTTCTGGGCCTGGTACGGCCCCAAAGTTACAAGTGAGCTTGGGTAGAGGGGGCCTGGCCTCGGGAATCCAGCTGAGGCCCCAAGCTCGGGCTGTGCGAGGTGCGGCCCAACCTAGGAGAGCTTCCTGCTCTCGGTTCCCTCGAGTCAACAGATGCTTAGTACTAAGTTTTTTGTCAGTGAGAGCGCTGTCCCGAAGGCACTTCGTCCCGGCACCTCGCGGCCGCATTCCTCAGAAGTGCAAAACTGGAATGGATGTAGATGGATGTAGAACTTGAATTTGAGATGCCTGATTGCGTCAAAGTGAGAATTGACTCAACAATCCACCTTTCTAGTCAGGCCCAGCGCAGGTGCCCGAAGAGTTCGAATCCGGAGAGTTCTTCAGTTTTGGGTCGAGGGCTTCCAGGGTTGACCCATCCGAGTCTGGGTCTTGGCCTGGCTTGTGACAGGATGTCCAGATCCATGCCCCTGTTAAAGAAGGCTGCTTTTCGTGCCCCAAGAATGTGAAAGCTTGGCCCGGGCTGATTCCTTCAGCCCTATATTGCATAGTTGTAGACATTCTGTTCTCGAATATCCAATCCGCACACTTTCCAGGGCAAGCACCCGGAGACGGAGTTCCGCGGGTGCGTCTCCTCCAAGTTTCCTTGCCTTGTTCGGTGTGCAATTCTAAGAGATATTAATAAGAGCCGTTAAGGATTCAGTGCCCTCGGAGTCTCCCGAATGAACGGGGAACATGCACCCGAAGTCGCACTCACTTGCTTACAATCATGATCGTGGCATGCGTGAGCCTCGCGTATATGGACTGGATTTGTGGGATTTGTGCTCTAAATACAGCAATTGAATGTTTAGCATACGTATGTTCAGAGGCATCTCTTCAAACGCTGCGGAATCTGGCCCAAAGCCCAGTTCAGTTTCACACCCCTTCGAGCTAGGTTGAGGGTTCGGGCTCCTCGCAGCATTGAGGAGCGTTCCACCAAGGTGCTTTGTTGAATTCCCACAAAACGTGACGCGACTTTCGTTTTGCAAACCCCAATATCAAGCAGAGGATCCCGTGATCACGGTGAGTTCCTCGCAAAAGACTCCGAGACATGCTTGACATTTTGAGCTCGATAACATCTGCTGCAATCTCGACCGTACTCTTCGGACCCAAGTTGCATTAAGCCACATGTACAATAGGCCATCACCCACCCTCGCACACACCACACTCCACACACCGCACAGAACCGCACCGCACAACACACACACACACACACAAGTTCCCTTTCAAGTTCGAATTGCTGCCATGTCGCAGCCAAGCGCTGAGACCGGCCAGGCGGAGGTGGATGAGCAGGACACTTGCCGGACTTTTTTTGAGCGGAAGGATGTTTAGTGCTTCTGGTCAAAGTTTTCTGGCTGGTGGAATATTCCGTCCGGCAGAATGATTCATGTTGGCTCCTACCGTCCCCATTCCCGTCAGGATGATGGCATGATCCGTATCGTCGAATCGGAAACCCTCTTGCCGCCAGCATTTGCTTCCATGTGGCGTGCTGTGGCACAGATGTAGAAAAACTTTCGTTTGGAGAAAGTGTTGTTTGGTTCAGTGCACGGCCTGTCCTGGAATGGAAGTTGTTGTCACGAAGCATCATCTCCTGAGAATCCTTGATACTTGGCGTTCGGCCAGGCTTATTAAAGGCTTTGAAGGACAAACTTGCAATTATACGCTTCAGGAAATACAATCTGCATGTGCTACTAGTAAGCGATTCGTAGTCACGGCAAGGACTTAGAAGCATCTGCAGAGGCGGATGTGGATGGGAGAAGGATTGAGAGAAGTGCATCTAAGGTAACGGAGTACTTTGTGACGTGGAAATCCGCGTTGAGGCTTGCTGCCTGGCGTGCTTATGGCAACTAGTGGCCAAGCGCCTCCTCGCGATATCCATTCACAGCATTCATCACAGGGTCGAGTAGCTGAGGCTCATTCAAAGCCCACCGAGTGGTCCTGGCATCGTGTTCCGACTACATGAGAGTTGCTCGGCTGGCAGTTGGCAGTTTGCAATGTATGAGACATCGCGTGCTTTGAATATTGAACCTGCGGCTGGCTGCGGCTGCGCCCACATCCATTCATGGCGTCATGGCGTCACAGCCATTGCAATCATTGTAGCGCTTGAGATTATCGGGGCTCAGAGTCGACCAACCAGTAGGGAAAGGAAGCGGCAACTCGCAAACTGCCGACGTTGCTTTAGACAATCAAGTCTCTTCCGTTGGCGCTGTTATGCGCTGTTCTTTGTCAAGGTTTCTGCTAAATCCTTATGATGCTATATGCTATACTGACGCTTTTACTTCTGAGATCTCTTTCAGATGCTCTTCAACTTCACAAAGTCTAGTCTGTTCTTCACCTTCGCTCTCAATGGTATCCCACCTTTTTATGGTTTCCAGCAGCTCTAAAGGAATACATCCTGCAAATGCCTTGTAAGTGATTTTTAATGGTCTATTTGCGTTGATCTTGGCTGTGACGGTGCACCAGAGCCAAGGCGCGATTCTGCATTGGCATGGCTGACAGCAACTGTGAGTCGATGGACCTTCCCGATATGCCCGCCGCAGCACCTCCAGCCGAGATATGAGGGTCTTATCTTCCAGATGATTGCAGAGCCTGACATGAGAATTGGGGCATATAGGGTCTGAAGGATCATTCTGAAGGACCATATGTGGAAGCATCTGTATATGCTGCTACGGGCCAAGCATTTCTGATCAAAGCACACAGGAGCATTCTGCCAGAGAACCTTCTGAGATCTATGTCTTGTTGTTGGGGTAGGACATGATAGGACTGTAGTCGGCATCAGGATCGGGTACTGTGCCTCAGTACAGCTGCCTTTGAAGCTCCTGTTGGATGCCCGAAGCTTCGGCAAGGTCTCTCTCGCTCCCTTGGCCTCTTCCTTTCTTTCCCTTGTTTTCCTCTCTGTGAACTGTGTGTTCCTCTCCAAGTTTCTGTGCTAGACTTATGTTTTGGTAGGCGTCCAAAAACTGCAGACCGGAGCCCTCGTGGAATGATTTTGTTCAATACCCCCTCGAATGCTGAGGCTTTCGAGGCAGTCCTGCAGCACATGTACACAGGTTCATGCCGCCCGGAGATGCAGCGATCACGCTTGGATGTCTAAAAGCAGGTTCTTTAAATTACTGTACTGCTCTCTTGAGGTTTCGGATGTCCGAGTTTGAGAAGGGCACTCTTGGAGCTAAAATCACTGGGCCGCAGGATGGCAGAGGCTTTGATGTTGCGGCGGTTCGCGTGGGGGCGAACGGGGCTGCCAGTTGTGAGGTTTTGAACCCTTTTGATATGATTTTGGAACGACCTCTCAAAAGTCCACTATGTAGAAGCCGCTGAATCTGAGATTTGCAAAGGTGACCTGTCTTCGAGCAGCACTCTTTCTTCTGTTTGCTACATCTATTTAGATCGCTTCGAGTAGGTGCGTGCGGCCAGCAGTTTCACGGGATGGTGCCTCCGACTCTCTAGTTTGTAAGACTCGATTGCACCATGCTGCACCCCCTCTTTGGCCATCAATACATCGTGCGCTCCGCGTAAGGAAGTGCAGAAGATGGTAGAAGTGTATTTTGTTATGAGGTGTCTGTGAGCCTCTGCATGCTATGGACCCTCAGCCCAGCTCAAGGCCTGATTCCGGAGGACCTGCTGGTTCATGTCCTCGAGGCGAATGCCGCATTGTCTGGGGACCTGCGCAGGGTTAGGAGTTTTGAGAGCCAGCACGTTTCGAGCAGCTTGGAACGATAATGGTCTCGGGCTTGCGGCAGCGCACTCCCCCAAGAAGCAAAGATGTCGGCTTGTCCTCCTGCCTAGAGGCGGCCTCGCGACTGCAGTACTTGAGACTGTTGGAGCTGACCTGGCACGTTGCAGAGGCCGGTCGAGGGAACACTGCTCGACCATCCCAGAGAAGGCCCTGTGATCCCAGAGTGAGGCAGAAACAAAAACCTCCAGAATCCAATCCAAATTAGAAGGTAAAAAAACCGCTTTAGATCCGCTCCCAGAAGTTGGACAAGTGAAACAGTGAAACCCATAAAGAAGCTAACGCCCCCAGGAGCGGCTGTCTCCCAAAAACTGCCTCCGAATTTGGGAAGTGGCCGACCGCCTCTCCCTGACAAAGTTGCTGAATGCGCCCCGGCCCATGGCATCGGGCTCCTCAGGTCTTTGGCAGTTTCAATCAATAGGCTCAATAGGTCCTTTATTCGGGGTTGTGAAGTTTTGGGCCCCGAAAGGGACTTCAGGGCTCATGCAGGGCCGTATAAGGGCTTTATGGAGTTTCGGGGTTGAGGTTTTGGCCTGAGGGTTTGGGTCTCGAGGATTCATGAGCAACCAGGAAAGCGTGAGCGTGAGCGTCTTGGGAGAAACCGCAGCTGACAGCAGAGGCTGCAAAGCTCATGTGCATCGGCAACTTCGAGGACATCGCGGAAGGTTCGGAGTTCCTCACGACACTTGGGCTGCAAGAGGGATGCTGCTCAACTATTCCACTACTCATTACTGTGGCACATGGGTTTGTCTGCTGGCAAAAGTGCATGGTTGCAGCGTCCAAGATTTTATCTTCTGCTTAGGGTATTTGGGTCTTGCTCCAAGTACATCGCGCAGCGCACACGGTCTTGGTGCGAAGCTGTGCTTCCACCCTACGTCCCGCACGCATTGTGCTCGTATAGTCACGTCCCCGCCTCGATCCCGCAAGCCGGACGCATAGTCCCCTTGTAGCCTGTAACAGGCGAGGATTCGTGAGAGGCCAGGTCCGTGCCTATGGAGGGGCATCGGCCCCGATTTAGGGCACTGGGGGTTCCTGCCACGATGGGGCCCAGCCAAATCAAAAGGTCCACACTAGACCGAATGATACCGAGAAAGCAGCGCCCGGCAAGTTTTCAGATTGCGGCTCTGAAGAACTCAGCTTTGAGCTACGGCTGGGATGGGCCTCATGATCGAGACCTTTTGTCGACGTTGATCTCCACGTTCTTCTCCAGCAAGCCGGCTTCTGGAATGGTCTTTAGAGAAGAGCATGGGGCCCGAAGATCTGGCCGTTTTGTTGAAAGGCCTCTTCTTGGCGTCTAAACACATTCGCAGTCCTGCACAATGCTGCCGCCCGTCGACCCAGATCCAAGTTTGCTTCCTGATCTGCAAGGGCCAGCCGCTCTTAGCTTCGTCGGTAACCTCAGACATACTCGCACTTGCTGTGTGGATGATTTTCCTCATCTGAAGACCGCGCAAGCATTTCGATGTGGCCGTTGCCGCCCCTGTGATAGGGTTAAAGCCCGCAACTATCACGAGAATTCCAGCGCCTCGAGTCTTTTAAGCCGACGTTTCGAGGATGAGTGCCGATCGACTATTATTGCTGCTCGGGGAAGACGACCTCAACATCAGCAAGGAGGAGGCCATCAGCAAGGGCCTGCAGGAAGTTCCATCCCGGGGTTTGAATTGGGGTTTTCAAAATTTGGAGTGGAGGAGTATGCCATCCAGGTCAACCCTCTGTCAGCTATAGGCTCAACATCCAGCAAAAAGACCACGAGCATGAACTGTTCGTGACACCTGGTTCCATGCGCGGGCATGCTCGTTCTGTTGGGCTGTTGGGGTTTTGCCTGATATGCTGCCTAGGTTGTGCGAATCCGAATCTGGGGTTTAAGAACAAGGAGCAAGCCCTGCACATGTGGCTCTCTCATCGTTTCGTGCCATTTCTATGGGCCGCAGAGCTGGTTCCGAAAGGGGCCAGTACAAGGGGCATCTACACATCCTCTGAAGGGCTCACGTGGGCGTGTCCCCGTATCACTATTTGCATTCCCGCAGGTTGTCTTCGAGGCGGTGCGACGCTGGGTGAACGCCCAGGTAGACCTGCCGCCGCACCTCGTAATACCGTTGATTGCAGATTCTGGTGAGGGTTGGGAATTGGCAACTGCTGAGTTTCCTGAGTACGTGTTTTAGTGACTGAGACTGAGGATTATATGAGTCTAGGCAAGGGAAGCGAATTATTCGGACATCATGCATATTCGAGCGGTTGCTTCGGCGATGTCCGAGGTCAAGGCAAAGTACGGCTCGATGTGGAAACAAGAAGCTTAACACGCCATGTTGTTTGGGCAGCATCGTGACTTGGGTGGGGGCGTGGGTGGTGGATGTTCTTTGGTTGGCGGTGGTGTGAACAGCCCAGCTAGCATGCATGTTTCCCCCTGTGTGTGTGTATGTACGACGCGCGTGATTGTGTGTGTGTGTGTGTGTGTTTCGTGTGCGTGTGCCTTCACTCGCCTGTGTGCGTGCGTGTTGAATTGTTCATGCGGGTCAACTGGCTTTGCGTCCTTTGGGGGTGAAGCGTGTGTTATGTTGATTGGACGAGGGTGTTGTCATTCTGAGGCAGAAGCTCTTCGAGCTGTTCTCCAAGGTTCGCTTCCCGATCATGTCCAAGAACTTTGTCACGGAGATCGTGCGGGCGGACCCGTTGATGTCGGCGCCACGTCCGAATTCCAGGAGTCATACTGCTTCTCACTATAGTGAGCTATACCGTGAGCTGGAGTAGCCTTTGCACCCTGCCGACAACGTCACAGCCACATGGAGTGAGGCTCCAGGTCTTTTTCCTTTTCATCGTGCCTAGATTGAATCATTCAATGTAGGCAACCTGTTCTTCAACCTTTTTCTTAAATACTTGTTGCCTGCACACCAAAAACCTTGCCGAAGCTAAGCGGCTGAGCGCTGCCTTGGCATCTGTCGAGGTGCCCGAAGCACTTCAAGCCCTCTTAGATGGGATGCAAGACTCCCGGCTGAAGCAATGGGACTTACGGATGACAGATGTGAAGAGGGATTTGTCACACAGATTTTCAGTTGTGGTTGCCTTTTTGTGGCGTGTGTCCTGCCTTGGGCTTGGTACGGTCCGCAACCTGTTCTACCTGCCATGCTCTCGATGTCCGAGAAGAGTCCAACGTAAGCTTCGCTTTATTCATGCAATCGATCCCCAACTGCAATCATTGAGCAAGAAGCCCGAAAACCCGCAGAGGACGGCAACTATCGCGTGGACACGCAGCGCACTCGACAAAGAAGGCGTCTTAAGTTCGACAGCTCGCGGGTCGTCGGGATCCTTGGTGACGCAACATTTCATGGGGGGATGATAGTGTTTTGCAGCAGCCGGACAATTGAAAGACCGTAGACCCTTATCATGTCTTCAAGGGATTGTACTCATTGTACTCCAGTTCACGTCAGCCAATGCTGTTGTGAGAATGAGATTCATGCAACAATGGCTCCTGCTGACCTGGTACGCGTCCTAGAAGCAAGCTTGTGAAAGTACCGTGGGTGCCGAGGCACTTCAGGTTGTACGTATAGAGTATCATGGGACGTCAATTAATGAAACTCTACGCAGATGCGGGCCAACGTACGCACCAGTGATTGCAAGGAATTCAATTGAGTTCCTGTGCAACGGCTCGCTCGTACGAAGCCTTCGTGACTCAGCTTGCTATTTAGCGGGAGGGCTGCTGTTGGGGGCATCTGCTCGTTGTCACGCTGTACGATGGTGGCCGTCATTTCAATTCATTTGTGCCTGTGCTTGTCAGGCACTTCATGTAGCCGTTGACCACTGAGGGTTGCAGGGGTCCTTTCAAAGCGTCTTTTGCAGGAGTTGCGCTGTGGTTTCCTGATGAGTGTGGACATGTGTGGACACCACCTGCAAGACGTCTCAAGCCCCAAGCATTCCCAAAGACTGAAGCAGGGGACGCGCGGTCCTTCGCAGTGGCGGCACAGCCCCTGTCGCCGGACGGCGGCAGCTTTTATGCCCTTTGGCTGCTGGTGTAGGGGTAGGGCGGTAGCCTAGTTATTTCTAGTGGAAGATGCGCACTAGGCACGGTAGCATCTTCGACTTGAGTCGAGGCTTGCCTCACATGGTATACCGGGAGCATCGTCTACATTGGTGTCGCGACTGCGCCTGACAACTTGAATTCCTGGCAGGCCCGCGTCTGCCCGCGTCTGTGAGTCATCCAGCGGCTCAGTAGTTCTCTCTCGACTTGCAGCTAAGTTAAGGCAATTAAGGCTGCTTTGAATGTTGAAGCACCCTTGACACACCAATATTCAGCCCTCCTGAGGCTACTCGATCAGTGTCTAACTACGCCGGTGGAAAGAGTGTCTGAAATGCCCCACCCCGTGCCGAACATCTTCTCATATCCGTCAACCCGAAGACCTCCAGAGGCATGGGTGTGGAATCCTTCTCATCCGCAGTTCTGCCGGCACCGAGGGGGGAACATGGAGTGCCGAGCCGCAAGTGCAGCCATGGCTTGGGGGTTTCCCAGCTTCAGGGCATCGAACTAGATCGGATTGTACATTTGAGCAGTATTTCCTTCTTAGAACCTGTATGTAATCGTTCCGTTCGAATCATTTACAAGTTGTGCAGCATCTTCTTGACTTTTGGCAAATCCCTGGTTTCATGTTCATGACCCAAGGCGGATCATTTTGGGATGTGGGGACATTTCCTGTTTTCCTAACATCAGCTTCAGCAAAGTGTCCTCGCACCCTACGACCCTACACGACATCATTTCAAGGCTTGGACACTCCCGGAGTTGCAACACTCCCAACAGCTACGTGCCGACTGATCCAAAATGCACCCCGAAAATTCCAGACAACCACCGACCCCGAACCCAGCAAAAGTTGAATGGAAGAAGTGGTCTTACAACTCCCTTCTGGGGAGGAGTTTGACCTGTAAGCTGGTCTTTCGTTGTTGCATTTAACTTGTGCGGGGAGATATTTTCTAGATTGCTATACTATTGTACTGTTGTATTCGTAGTCTAGCATATATGAGTATACTAGTGTATCCTGGTACACTGCAGTATTCTGCGTCATTTTCCAAGCCCAGAACCAGCCGCGCGAGGCGAAGCACCAACTTCGGCTCGATGAAGGTGGCCCAAGGTGATGTGATTGGTGTCCTGCGCCAGGGCAACACCCTCATCTTCAGCCCCCTTGGAGGCAACTAATTCTAAGCCTTTGGCCTTAGCCTTTTGGTGCCGAAACACGCCTTGGGGTCTGTGTGTTTTGCCGGGGGGGGAGGGGGGGGGTGGCGCATTTTGAAAAAAGAGCGTTTCGAAATGCCACATGAACCCAACTGCAGCCAAAGACTCAGACCCAAGGCCACAATGGCAAGCTCGTTTGCCGCGGCAAGGCCATGGTTTGATTTCAGTGTTGAAAGCTTCGGTAGCGGGAGTCTCTTAGAGGAGCATCAGGCTTCTGAGCTTTGTGGTTTGGTTGTCTGTGTTGTTATATTGCAACAGGGAACTCCCTCAACCCTACTATGCAGGTTGATTCACCAGCCCTCCACAAAGACCCATCTGTCGCGCCACGCGAGGACCAGTCCTCCCACGTCATGGCAGCGGACTTGGAGGATGAGGTCTTCCCTTGCCTAGGCTCCGCTGAGAGATTAGACGGGAACTTGTAAGAGTTTCTCATGGCGCAGTGATCCTCACAAGACGGTCCTGCTTATTGTGTAGAAGTACACAACCAGGTTTGGACATCATCATACAATGAGCTCCTCCAGTTGACTCAGTTGCGCATCTTGTCCAGGCTTTTGGGCATCCAACGTCCAGTGGGAGGTCATTCGGCCCCCGGATCCGCGTATTCCAGCTGTGCGCTGGCCCTAACACACAAAGTGTCAGAGAATCAATCCGCAAAAGAGAGAAGCAAAAGGATGCTTCTGGCCCTCGGGCTTCTGAAGCACGGAACGAATCGAAAGCCATCCATTCCTACATGTCGATACAACCAGAGGGCAGATGTAAGATTTCAGATTGATCAGATTGATTCTCCGAGACTCAGAGGGCTTCAGTGGCTTTTACACGCCCCGACTGCTCCGCTCCAGTGGACAGGCCCAGGAGCATGGGCAGTTCGGAGCTTTGCGGAAAACATGCTCCCAATGGGTTTCTGTGACTCGAGAAAGCAAAGCTTCTGTGCATGGCACATGGCCGTGACTTGTTCCTATTGATATTTGGAGCCCGCTTGTTCGGCCCGGACTTGAAATGAAGGTCGTAAACTGCCCCCGCACACAAGGAGGGAGTTTCAAGCCCCCCCTGCATCGAATGCACATTGTCTTCAAGTCCGCCAGTGGTCTCGCGACCCACGGCCGTTTCCCGGAGGAGTGGCGTTTTGCCGCCAAGAGTCGGGCCCTGCGCTAGTGTTCGGCCGAGCGGCATAAGTTGAAAGTAGATCCTCAGGAAGACAGGGAGGGATTTGTTCAGGCGCGCTTGAAGTGGTGTACCCATCATACTTTGCAGTTGAAGCTTGTCAAGAGCCAGGGGGAGAATTGAGCAACACTCTTTGTCTTGTGAGTCTTGTGGATGTAGTTCCGCTTGAAGCAAAAGCAGCTAAGCTTAATGCAGAGTATACCCGCCATGCAAGGGGGCTAGATCACGATCACAAGTAAGTGCCATGCTGACTACCAAGCTACACATCTTCAGTCTTCTCCGGAATCTTGCATAGAGTTCACGGCTGAGTCAGGATTCCCTCCTCTCCGAGAGGCTCCACGAGCATAGTGTGCCGGGGGGTCTCTCGGAGAAGGGCAGTACAGCATCTTCCCACCACGGGGATCCATGACCACCCGAAGCTGCAAGAAAACGCCCTCTCTTTCACTCATATTAGGGACTTGCTGAACCCGGAGCCACATAATTACAGCCCAAAGCCTGCAAAGGCCAACTGCGAATGCGGCTTAAGATCTGAAAGGCTTGCGGTCAAAAGCCCCTATCATGCGGAAGCACTCGGCGGAAGCACTCGAAGCTGTGGCGCAAGCGTCGAGGTGGTGAGGCATCCTGCCATACTTGAGTGTCATAATTCTAGCTGTACAAGTGCTTCGTGCGTTACTTAGAGACTGTGGCTTCGGTACCTAGCCCGGCATCATGAAAGCCACGGAGCAACGCTTACGCCTTCAGCCAGATTCGGCGTATACGCGCACAAAATCCTGAGGTCCAAAGCTACAAGCCAGTAGCTTTGATGGTAAAGCAGCCTGACCACGGTCGTGATCCATCCAAGCCATTGGACATAAGCAGGAGCAATTATTCAGTGCTCGGGCCTTTGACTTTTGACATAGGCAGATGACTTGGCTGTACGGGGCCAGACCCTGTGGATATCTGCGAGAAAGCAGCTGAAATACCATTAACCATAAAAGCCACAGAACACAGCAAGCTGTATGGCTTACATGTCTGCACATTACCACGTTGACCTTCGGGAGAATGAGGCGTGGATCAATAAGGCAAGGACTGTACGGTGCCAATGAAGCCCGCGCCGTCGTTGTCGGTTGTTGCGCTGCACAGGCCTCCTCCTCGTTCCTCGACCTTCCGCACCAATGGTAGGCTTTTGGCAGACAAAGGAAGCCCCTGAAGGGCCTTTTCAGGCCTTCAATGCACTCGGGTGCTGCACTGCTTAAAGTTTCTGCGCAGTAGCCCAGAGCCAACCTAAGCTCCACCCCAACCAGGCTCGCGGGCTGCCCTTTGCTTCCAGAATGCAACCCTAAAGGGATCGGGGCCTTTGCAGCGCAACAGCTGCGGTGAGTTGACGGCTTCATGCCACACGCAGGCACAGGCTCGACCCAAAAGGCATGCAATCCAGATGATTGATGATTGACTTCATGATTCTGAGGTTCTTTCGGTTGGTACTTGTAGTAGTTTGTAGATGTCCGACGCCGGGACCCGGTTACGTAGAGGCCTTGATTCATGTGCTCTGCCACAGGCTGTAGCCGAAATTCGCCGAACAGGGAGTCGCTGGGCAAGCTACCACCAGCAGAGCTGACGCAAAAAAAAAGAGGTCGCTGGGTGTTGATTTCTGCATGTGGGGTCACAGAGGTGGCGTGCAGATTTCGGACGCTGGCAAGCTAAGGCTGAAGCCGCGCGCACAATGTCACAATCGCGCACTCGGGAATCCCCACAACTCGTCATGTTACCTTGGCCTCACAGTCTTAAAATAGGGCACCCTGAACCGAATCCCACTTCGGATCCGCTCCTCCGCAGGGAGTGGCGAGGAGGGTGGTGTGGCACACGCCTCATGTTCGAGGGCGAGCATTGCTGGGATTTGCACCAAGGTCACCAAGGCCCATGTGCATGTTCAGGTCCGATTTGCAAATTTGGCATGACAAAGCTGTCAGCTTGTGTGTAAGGAATGGAAACGAGCCGAAGATCGTGGTGACACGATGCCCGCAGGCTTGGGCAAATGGATTGATCACAAAACGATCGAAAGGCCAAACGTATATCAGCACGACACCTTTCAGCCCTCCTATCGGCCGGGCCACTTGTCTGCAACACGTGCATGCTGAACAGTCCTGGAGACAAGGAGTACATGCCCGCATCTTCGCATAGAGTTTATGCTATTTCTCGCCAGGCGCCGCCCAAACCCCCTCCCAGGCGGGGCACGTGGTGGACATTCGCGCATTGTTTGCTGTGTGTAGGTGTGAGGGTTCTTGGGGATGGTGTCTTCCAGAACTAGGGCTGTGAAATTTCGGAGGGCGCCCTGATCACCTCCGGGCGAGCCTTATTGTTCAGGTTTGCTCTGAGTGCAACTCTAGGAAAGTTTGCTGATATTGTGGCTACTGCGCAAACTCCACACCAAATTCACTGTAGGCGATTAGAAGTTTCAAAACTGTTCTCGTTTCATATCTGAGTAGTGACTTCCCAAACCCAACGATTGCCGCGTAGCCAGGGAGGCTCAGCTCCACTCGCAGTCCATGCAGGCCTGGGGGATGTCAGGCTTCAAACTTCGTTTCGGCTGTGGGGATCGTTGGGCATTGTTGTCCCCGTAGAGCGCGAGAATTTTGAGGGGCAAATTCAAAAAAGCTGAGTGTTTCGACGGATTAAAGAAGCAAGTGCAGTCGCTAAGCTGTTGAGGCTTTGTGGTCTACAGCTCGCCCCACAATCAAGTGAAAACTGCATGTTTTACGATCAGTGGTCTTATAGGCAGGCAGAGGTATGGCTTGGAAACCATCCAACTTACGCAGCGCGAGCAGGATCAACTTGATGCTTTTCCAAACAAAATGCCCCGACGAAGCTGGACAAACCACATCATCACAACTGCTGTATTCCACATGTGTAGCTACAAACATGTCAACCTGTCGATACGATGGAAGCAAGAAAACTCAAATGGTTGGCTCGTATTTTACGAGCTTCTCCTAATGACCCAATGCGTGAAGTCCACTTTGAACAAGGAACAGATCGATCAGAACAGAGCATACCAGGAGGGTTGGACAAACAAAAAGAAACAAGAAAACCTAGAGCCGATTGCAACAGCCATGCAATGACGCATATCCTCTTCCTCAGTTCAGATTCTCGTTTTGAAGCCCACAAAAAAGGATGATATATAGACGGCTTTGAATGGTTAAGACAAAGCGTGAAGCTACATAGTGGCCCCGTGGGCAGTTTTCTCCGAATGTGTCATCGAGCATCTCGCACTATGTTCACCTTCGGGCTCACATCCGTGTAGTTGAGGTGCTTTTGCCAGCTTCTTGCCGGCATTGCCTCAGCTTGATCAGCTTTGGCTTTTGTTTGTCGAGCTTTCTGTTGGCGTTTGTTTCCGCCTTCACGTGATTCTGGACACCTTGTTTACTGTCTTCGTCTTTACTCAACACCTGGCGTATGGCCTTGCTGCTCCTTCCCAACCGTCTGATCTCTGGCTTTCCAATCCGTCGCAAGTCTCCAAAGTTGGGGCAGGCTCCGGCAAAGCCCGCGGCTCCGGCAACACGGCCGCGGCCGCACACGGCTCGCGTGCGGGCACCTAGGGGATCTGGCATTGTCGAAATATGCAAGATCAATTGGAAAAGGGATTTCGTTGTAGCACTTCGCAAGCAACGACTTCTATTGCAGGCTAGGGCTTTTAGAGCTGTGGCCAAAGCGGATGATTTCAAGTGCTGCAACGCTTGATCCCTCTGCCTTGCCTCTTTGCCTCTGCACATCTCTGCACGTTCTGGCAGTCAAGGCACGCCTTGAGGCCATGTTGGCCGAGGCTCAGGGAGTCTGGGCCTCAGGGAAGAGTTTAGCTGTTACTGGATTCAAGGGCCTAGGGGGTATTTTGGGGTCTTCGTCAGCTCTGTCTTTGGGGGATTCATAGGGTAGCTGGGTCTGAGATTCAGACGGTCTGCGTTGAGGTGTCCCGCAGGTCTGCTTGCAGGTCTGCGACGTGCATAAGAGGATATGGCCGCAGGTGACAAAACACAGGTTCAGCAATGAAGGTGTTAATCTGGTGGGACACCTGTCAAGACCTGGCTTGTTCCGACTCAAACCAAGGCCCCCAAGACCGCCATAAACCAGCCTCAAGTTGCCGCAAGGAACGACATGGCCCGGTGCGGTCGACCTCTGAGATAGCGGTGATGCGGGTATAATGTTGCTTCCATAGACAGCGCGGATGTTCAGGGGCATCGGCCCGTCTTGCGCGATCCCAAAATTTCAGGAGATCTACGTCCGGTCACTGTCTGCACTGCGGAAGGACCCCGAACTGCGGAATTGTGGTACGGCAACTTATGAACTTATTTCGAACTATGTTGAACTTACAGGAGGCAGAAGTTATGAACTTAGGGCACAACTTATAAGTATGTTAGAACGTCATAACTTCAGAATATGCTTTTCTATCGTTTTATTTGTTTCTGGTACAATCTCAATTATTTGCGGCTTTT